AATGATCTAAACAAGTATTGACATTTATAACACTATACTTGGTCATACCATGGAACTATAAAGGGTTTATAGTTCCATGGTCATACAGTGAAGGGAATAGTATATTTAACTGATTCTAGAACCGTGCATACAACTTCCTCAACAAATGCCCCAAGTACAGCCCAAGGGGCACATGTAGGATTTTCAGTTTATAGAGGGGGCACCTATACAATGACGTCATTGTATTATTGAATATGAGTAACCACGGGTTTAGAAAGGGCGCGGGCCCCCTGTGCCCCGCTTGATCCGCCACAGTTCCCTATACAAGGTCAGGGAACTGACTCGCCTGACATGTTCAGTTTGTATCAGACTGAATCCGTCGACGAGGGCGCAATAACTATCGCCCACTATGTTAGGTTAGGTACTGGCTAACCCGCTCGCTTTTCAGACTGGTGCGTCCATTGAACACACAGTCAGCTGGCGCACACGTGATAATAAAATAAATATAATATTTACTATAAGGGGGCCGCCATCTTGAATGCAGCATAAAACTAAATAAGAGACAAGTTGTGAAACGCGTTTTTCAGATTCCTACAAATCAGGACAAAGATACCAATCTTTCACAAAAATGCGATCCGTTGGAGTTATATTAAGCCAACCGATAACACAATTCGGCTGAATTCGGCGTTTTTGCGTGGAAAAATCCCTTGCATACGAGCACCTAATTACACGAAGAACATAGAACACTTTCCTGGGGTATTTGAAACCGAAATTAGTAAATTATATACTAAATAAAATAATCTCCGACAGAATGTCAGCCTAGTCACACACTTTAAATAATAATTCGTACGCCGTGTAGCGAGATCCCGGGAGTGGGATACACCAACTTATGGTGATATCAGCAGCTATCATTTCACGAATTTGCGATTTGAAATGTCCTATATAGGACTGATAGGAATGCAATTTAATTATACAACATTAAAGCGCGGTGGTCTTCGCGCAGCGCGTGTTCGAATTTCATGTAAATAAACAATGTATTTTACACGCGTTGTGTACGTCGCTATGAGTCCCATATCGAACAGGACGCGGTGCGAGGACTGCCGCCCTTTAAAATGGGTTGAAATTCAATTAACAGCAACGCTTCAACGATGTGTTGGAAGTATTGATTATCCCAGAGGAATGTGTTGTGCCGCCAATTTTATGGTTGAATCAAATCGCAGTTGGTTGTACGGAATAATTATTATCTGTTCCAGTTCTTCGGACTGACTCAATTTAATGCACGCAAATAAGCCCAGATTTGTGCATGGATACTGCGCGTTTCATGAATATGCATAGAAGTGAAAAATGAAGTTCGGTTTTCATTAAAGCGGAGGGGTTGTCACCTGCGCATGTGCGATAATTGAGTCCCAAACGCCGATAACAACGCACGCAAAAAACGCGAAGGTTCATGTGTAGACGCCTGTTTGTGAACAACAACACGCTGTGGCCCTCTGACGCATGAGTAGGTGACGACTCCCCGGCTTTAAAATTGCATTCCCATTTTGAATGTTATTTGTATTAAAATTATACCCCTGTGAACTATTTTTATTTTGATGTAAACTTATTTATTTTCTATGCATTTATGTCAGCTTCGTTGAAAATTACACTAAAAGGTGTACAAATAAAAGTGTATAAATAAGAACGTTTATATTACATGCTGGTAACTTGATAATCGTGATATACTAGTACTATGATGTCACTGGTATTATATGTATTTAAACCGTTCGATTCGTACTGATATCACAACAATAATTGTAGTTTTTACCTGGTGTTGATTAAAGCGGGAGGGTCGTCTCCTGCGCACGCGCGGGAATTGAGTTCCAAGCGACGATAACAACACACGCTAAAAACGCAAAGGCTCATAGGTAAACGCTTGTTTGTAAACAATGGCCATCTGAAGCATGCGCAGGTGACGACTCCCCCGCTTTAAGTGGAGTAGCACTAAACGCACAAACAAATCAAAGAATGTCAGGCCCGCACATAAAAATTATTCCGTGGTTGCGCACACACAGATTACTCTCCCATAAATGGTTCATAATTCCGGTGCGATCTTTGAAATAAAACTTTGATTATCACAACAAAATAGTAGCTGAGCCTGACTGGAGTTATTCATACAATATTTAGTATATAGAATACTATGAATGGTTTTAGAGAAATACTATTTTATCGGATCAAAAATAAAAAAATACAATGTATGTACTATTGTCGATAGCATAACATATCGAGGAAAATGATCAGTAAATGTTGCCGATCCAGAAAAAAATCAGCATTCAAAACGTAATATTCTCAAGATGAACTGTCGTATTCGGCAAGACTTATAGGAAAACACAAGTGTAAATATTGACACAAATAATATATATTTACTATGGTTACGTCGAGGTTTACGTCAAACCGTGGTTAGGCAGTGTTGCCGGCAAGAACTAGCGCCAACTACAGGCACGATGTGTTAAATTATTTGTTTTCATGTAAATATTTTGATTATCATGCTTCTGTGTAACATTGTATTCGTCCAGTTACTATTTGTTTCAATTAAAGCATTTGAATACAACAAACGCATGCATTTGGCAGACAAATGTAACGCTTTGATAACATTTCCATTGAAGTTTCATTGTTTTATAAATAATGTACCTGGTCACTGGAGAACACATCCTGAGCCCATTTGTTTGTTGGCTTTGGATTTAAGTTTTCTGAGATCAACATTTTTCTCATCAATCCTCAGTCCAAAATCACAAACCATTAGCGACTCGGGAAACTTTTTATTGTCAAAGTTGTGTTGCGCGTAATTATAAAACACGCGAGCGAGGTTGCTGCGTCCTGGCTTTGACGCAACCATGCTCAGCGCGGACGAGGAGTTCAGATCCAGTGCTCTGATGTAATCGTTGCAGCCTTGATGGTCTTTGTCGTGCAACAAATACACGTGTCCCCGTGCGCAGTAGTCACTGACCAACGGATTACTCTTCTCCAGCTTTAATACGGTCGACAGATCCCTTTCGGCGCGGTCATACAACTCCAGGCGCGCCAGGCACTTGCCGCGTTTCCGGAAGAGGTCTGTTTGTTTGCCGTCGCTCGCCAGCACAGCGAGGCTGTAGAAATGTAACGCTTTGTTGTGCTCGTTACCCCTCGTCAGTTTTTCGGCTTGGTCTGAAGCAAACTGAAATATATATATATATATATATATAGGATTACTGAATGTATATGTTATTTGTTTGGTCACATGATCTTTACAAATCACAAATATTGAATAATTATAATATGTTACGGGCATGACAAAAAAATATAATGACACAACACTATGTGAGTCCCACTTGGCATGCGAAGCATACAAAAAGTTTACAGGGGTGAGTACAAGATTTCTGGAGACAGTAAAAACGAAAAAATGCATTCCTTATTTATTTATATCTGTTAAAACTCCCAGTTCGGCAAATTTACCATAAACTTATAAAAATTATATATTAAGGTGACGACGATAAAACAAGCCAAATTGGAAAGTTTTGTTGGACAAATAAAAACCTAATAACCATTATCAACTATTAGAAAAATGATATATAGATAAATAGAAAGTCATTGTATGCCCACACAAGATTAAGTTATGGAAAATACCTGAAAAAAAAATTCCACGAATAAAATCCTTTCCTAACACTTCTATAATGTCATGTTGGATTTATAGGGGTTTTCGTGAAACAAGAGTCCCGAATATCATAGAAAATGGTCAAAATGTTCACACTGGTTTATATGGTGACATGTAGTGGAATGAAATTCGTATATTAGTGTTGATGTGAATTCTAATATTGTGAAAATTCAAAAAATTGATTGAATTAGTGAATTTCCAGGGTGATTATGATTTAGGTATTTTCCCATAATGCATTGCATATATGCACAGTAACATGCTCAGTGGAACACAATTTGAATTCGGCTCAAACTGGCTTCAAAGTTGTACTCTTTATGGGAATAAACTCTAGGTTGCAGTGTCGGTCAGCAATAATTTGAAACAATGGAGAATCATCGAATAAAAAACGTGTATTCACGTCACGTGACAACCCGTGCAAGATATGCTAATTAATGTGTGCATAATTATGTATCCACAAACCTTTGCTAGCTCGGCTTGTTGGTTTGGATCTAAAACTTTCATTACGAAATTAAGTCCTTGCGTATCGTCTTCCGCTAGTCTCCCTAGCTGAAGTACGGCCATCTCCAGGTTACCGAGTTTGATGTGAATCAAAGCACACCGTGCCACCGCTGTCAAATCGTCCGGTGTCAGCTCCGTCACTTTATTCAGGTGCTCAAGTGCTGTTTCGTATTCGCCTGGCGAAATATAAAGTAAAATGAATATTGTTTAAAATTCACGCAAGAATTTTTTTGAAAATTATTGGGTCTTGTTATCGTTGCCACTACTTGAACGTCACATATGGAGTATAAACCCACCTTCGACAATAAGGGCGTCAGCATACAGTCCGTGCCAAGTTGAATTATCCTCGTCCATTGCAACCAGTATTTGACCAATCAGCTTTGCGTATGACATCAGCTGACCATCATGGTGGGACACATTTTGCGACAATAAGTTCATGGCGTGTTGGTGAAGCCAGTAGACAACTAGAAGACGTGGTTGCTCTGGCAACGATGAGATGTGTTTCTTTGTGTACTCAAAGTTTACGGAGAGTGAATGCAAATAGTCGACTACAGTATCCTATCAAAAGAAATCCATGTAAGGTTTATACAGTCGGTTTTCACACTTGGTAAATAGTTTAAAAAGGAGACGCCGCAGTATTATATGTCGGGATTATCAGGGTTTAATCGCACACAACCACGAATGGCATAATTAATCGTATACTTGTAAATTGCTAACCACTGCAAGTGATAGTAACGGCTGTCATGATGCTACAAAAACAGAGAACTAGTAACCATTTTTCAATTTGTTTTTAACATTTGTTTCAATGGGATCGTACTTCACTTTGATTCGAGGTATCCGTGTGGAGTTGTCGATGTTTATAGGGTATACCTTTTAACCAACCACATAACGCACACACATTTTACAAGGATCGAGCTTGCATAACACCGTGACGTTTTTTTACTAACTGGCGATGGCGTCTCAAGACTCGGGCGCCCCAGTCAGAGGGATGCGTGCACGTAATATATTGTAAATAGGGACTCAGTTAAAAATTAGCAAAAAGCGCCTATAGTTAATTTTCATAATTGTAAAAAGTAAGAACATGAAATCAAATCAACGTCACTTATGCATAATGAAGCAACATACTAGTAGACTAATCACGTGACCACCTTACCTGCTGGTGATTCAATGTCAACTGCATACACGCCCTGCCACAGAGGGCCTCCTGCACATCCGGGTCATATTTTAGAACCGTGGTGAAATCGGCGATGGCAGCAATCTGGTCCCCAAGATGGGCGTAACACTCGGCCCTGGCCAGCAGAGATTTGGCAGATTTTACACCTGGAAATTGTGAAAAACGGAAAGGAAAGTTAGCCGTCTCCACCTATAATGCTGTCGAAATTTAAAATCCGTGTAAAGCACACTTTTGAGGCGACGCAAATGACGACAGAAGAACATATTGTGTTCTTTCCCAATAAATAATAAAGTTTGGACATACCGAAAAATATGGGGTGTTGATCTAAGCCCTATAAAGGTGATTTTCTGTTTAACTGCGAGTTCTCGCGAATTGCATGAAAGACTTGCGCCGAACATATGCCGCCGCGGCAAAATTCAAATTTAATTTTGAACTCGATTTTTTTAAATTTCGTAGCTCACATCGAAAGGCCGATTTTTGACAGAAGAATATTGCGTTTGAATACCCTTACTTCATCAAAATTGCCTATCATCAAATGTGTACAGCACATTATTAAGCATGGTAATATCCCTCGAAATACTTTCGCGTTTGTCGAATCCCACACGATGTTTGTCGCCACTATGACGCTATGACCTTTGTTTTTACGTTCGATTTCACGCATAACGCGGGATCTCGCAGTGAACGGAAAAGTGTTTATTTGGTACTACGCATTGTAAATATATTTAGGACATCGTTATGTTGTTGTTTTTTTCGTGAAACAAAAGCGTTGTTTTAGCATTGAACATGTATTCGTTAGACGAATTGTAAAATCACTGGCGCTTCGAATTATCTGTGCGTATAGGTAAATCCAGAGCGCATGCGAACTAGCGTTTCTATATTGCATCTGAAGAATACTGCTTTGTTTGTTAATAACATTTTTATTTCAATAATTATCAAGGTGTGATATCAAACAAAATTATTTTAAATTGTGAAAATGTATCCGCATTGCCTCTTCAAAGGACAGTGGACGTCGCGTCGCGTCCTGTTCGATATGAGACTCATAGCGACGTATACAACGCGTGTAAAATACATTGTTTGTTGACATATAATTCGAACACGCGCTGCGCGATGACCGCCACCCTTTAATCGCATTTGCATGACGGTGTTTGCAATTACTGTATATATAGGTACTTTTGTTGCAGCTCACTTCTATCATGGCTAATGAAATATTCGGAATAAAACAGTCAGTCAGAGTTTTTGAGTAAGTTGTACCTCAATTTCAAATCGCTTTGCACCAATTAGTAACTACTAGTCGATTTAGTTGGGTCATTTTTTTTAACTGGTCGCAGAGCACCTCGCCCGAGAAGTGGGCGAGTAAACCCCTCGGGAATGCAAATGACTTTCCCGTAACTAAATTACATTAAAAATTCAAATGACAAATGACATATATTTTGACGTGCGTCCCTAGGAAAAACACACTTACCCGCAGCGGCGATAGCAACTGTGAAACAATCAATCGCATCTTTGAAGGAGTCCGCGGATCTGGATTCTTTGAGTAACTGCACGGCGTGCATATGCGCCTCGTCCTGAATACCCACACGATCTGCAGAGTTGATCTGCGCGAAAGCAGCGGATAGACCGCTGGCTCCTTTCCGACGAAGTACATCAAGGTAATCCTGCGGAAAGACGAGAATCGTCATAGAATTGTGTGTTAATAATGTCCGGTCGTTATCTGGGTTGCGTGATACAGGAATCATGTCGTGATTTACGTAGCGGGTTTTAAAATGGAAGAGAGACATGCTACACATGGTGGGCGTGCCAGAGATAGAGTGTGGTCCAACTGCGTGCGTTACCGTGACTTCCGGTAATGTAGGGCAAGTCCAGACATGTACGAATATACTTGAGCTAGCGAGCATTGTTTATTAATTACTGGTGTCAATTACCTTGCTTGGAAAACTAAGGGGCCTTCATTGGGTGGCTTGTTCTACTCCCACAAATAACATGATCTAAGATAACACGTCACATAAGTACCCTGATCACGCATAACATAATTTCATCATATCCATCTTGATGATGCCCGATTGTGTGATGGCTCTGTCGTACTTACGCGTACGCCCTTACATGAGCAATTGTTTACAGTCAGAGCACTGTCTTACCTTCAGAGCTTGGTCTGTCTTTCCGAGTTTCATCCTGAACGTTGACAAATGTACCATGGCAACCTCATTGTCAGGGTGGCGATCAGTGAACTCACATAGTTCCCTCTCTGCATCGTCATGTCGATTCAGATAGCGCAATGCCTGGACCATCAATAAACAGATACTGACGTCATCAACGTTTAAATATTTTAAGAACTCACCGATACACAGCGCGGTTTCTAGTATTCTGATAATTAAAAAAACAACAACAGAAAATTATAATCTCGAAATATGTTTTCAAGCAAGAGCTTACGAAATTTATAGAGTCTGTGTGTGTGTTTAAAAGACTTGTTGTCGCGCCGCTTCCTTATCGATATGTATTCAACAAGTGTGAAATACATTGATTACACAAATTTCGAATATTGCGCCACGACACCGCACTTTAAACTGAGGCACGATAACAAAAAAGTAAAGGGAAATAAAGTCGCGGACAAATATAGTTTAGTGTGAGGGAAATGGAACAGCAAATAATTAAAAATCATTTGTATTTTTTGTGTGATTTAGATTCATGGGCGCCGCCATTTTGTTTAAAATGAAACGTCAAAGAAGGATCTGTAACGCGCAAACTGATTAGACAATGATTAGCCGCAACGGACTAACGGGGGCGCTGTTGGAATACGCATATTTGATGGTCGTTCTGCCAAGGTCTGTTCAAAGGCTTGGCCGAATAAACTTAAACCTTGGCTAGCGAAGATGTTGAGCGAACGATATATCAAATAAACAACAATAAGCAAAAGTGTGCCCGAACTGATTTCCATAGAAGCATTGGCTTTGTGATTTCCCTTCAAATAATAGTCAAAATGCATAATTCAAAAGGAAGTTTAGAATTCAAAAACTTCCCCATTTTTGTATCCGCACTTTTAAATAAACTTGAGTAATAAATAATTGCTCAACAAATCAGAATATCCTTATCTTAAAGCGGGTGGGGGTCGTCACCTGCGCACGCGCGGGAATTGAGTCCCAAGCGACCATAGCAACGCACGCAAAAACGCAAAGGCTCATGGGCTCATGCTTGTTTGTAAACAATGACACGCCATGGCCATCTGACGCATGCGCAGGTGAAGACTCCCCTGCTTTAACCACGGTTACCGTGTTAGAAGTTACCGTTAACCTACGCACCCACAACAAATGAAGTGCGTCGAATGAGCCATATTCTCCTCGTTCGTAACTTACTTTATTGTATCGGCTTTAAGTTTGACTTTCGCATCCTCGTCCCGGGATACTTTCTTGGCAACTCGGTCTAAAAGTTTATTAACTTCCATTTGTAAATAATGTTGCAAAGACCGTTGTTGAGGTACGGGCATTTCAATCGCGTAATTCACGCTGTCCATTACACTAAAAACAATCGCCTTTAGGTAGTCTTTCACAGCTCCATCCGGGTCATTCGTGACCAAATTTGCATACCCTCGTCCACAGAGAGCCTGAACGTTATCCGGAAAGTTTTCCACCGCCTTTGCAAAATCGTCCAGGCCGTCAGCGAGGTCACCCACGTGGAAATGGCACATCCCACGTGCACAGAGAGTCGAGCAGACATTTTCGATTTCGAGCACGCAACTGAAAAGCATGATTGCTTCCGAGTGGTTGCCCTGAAGACAGAAACACTCCCCACAGCACGCCATTGCATGTTTGTGTTTGGGCACCATTAGTAATATAAGTTTATAATACTGGACGGCTTGTTTTATCAACGTTTTCTGCTTATCCCGTCTTATCCCATTGGAAGCGATGTTCCCACGAATTTCCCTTTTATGGGTATTCATACAAATTTCCGCCATTTCCAAAGCGCTAACCACGATTTCTCGCTGGGAGTTCTTTTTCAAGTGTTTAAAAATCATCGATTTGGCTGTTGCTTTATCCATGGCAACCGCGAATATTACGTCTTTAACAGCCACCTCCCCGTCACCGATTCCCAGATAACACTCACTGCGCAGAATCAGTAGCTCGATTATCGTCTTGGAGGAAGTGTTGGATTTTGCGCTAGCGCGCTGTAAAGCAGTCGAGAACATCGTTATCGCTTCATTGTAATTTTTCCGTTCTCTCAAATTATTTGCTAGAGCGTGTAACGCTTTGGTGTCTGTCGGTTTAAACAATAGAATAAATTGAAAACAATCAATAACCAGATTTCTCCATTGATCGACAGCTTTCGCGCCACCTTTCTGGGGGCGCTCCGCGGTTGCACAAGAGCGAAAAAGTTCAATTATTCGTGGTAAATGTTCTTTTTGGCAATTTCGTACGTAAAGTTCTGTTTCCTGAGTATCGTCTAAATAAGCTTTTAAATAGTCAGCAATCATCAGTTTCTCTCGTTTCCCTAGTAACAGATATGCCAATCCCCGCTGTAATAAAACCCTGGTCGGTTTTAGTGGATACTGATCCAAAAGTCTGCTGCATCTTTCTATGACGTCTTTGTATTTTTTCTCCTTGAATAACATGTCTACTTGCGTTGAATTTGCCGGGATGCTAGAAGGCGCTATTCCATGTCCGGCGCCCAGCAGAAATTCGCATATTTGGTCGCAGTTTATGTTCACCCCATTGCGAGATCGTTTCGCCTGGGCCTCTTCCGTAAACTGACACCATTCCTCCAATAATTTGATCGTAATATCAAGTGATTCTTTCGGAATGGTTTTTAAATGCCCGATCGCGTACTTCGGCTCTTCCGAATAAGCCCGACAGTAAGCGGACACTGCCTTTTCATGCCGATTATCGAGTCGTTCCATATCCCCTTCAATACAGAATGCCTCGGCTCTATCGCGAGTCAACGAAACGAAACTAACCTGCGAGCTACCCGACCGACTCGATTTTTTGCTGCGTCCAGAAGCCGAATTAAACCCGGAGTCACTACGAGAAGATCCACCTGAGTCCGTTTTTCTGTGTCTCGTTAGGTATAATTCGGGTGCAACCAGATTTCGCCCAGTACGAGGCATAACTGTCAGGTCACTGAACACATCCTGCATAGACGACGAATCGCAATCCACGTGCAAACATAAATCCAATTTCCTACTCGAAAGTTGTATGTCGTCAAGGCAACGGTATGGCAACGAGTATAAATCCAAAGTTTCCTCCAAAATATCGATGACTTTCAGATTGGGCGTAATACGAAGTTTCCGAGAGCGACAGCCTTGGGATGATTTCTGAGTCACCAACAGGTAGTCAGGACCTGCAGAAGAAATTTAAAATACAACCTGTCACTATTGCAGTATGAAACCCGACCGTACGACGGCAAAACATTCATTTGAAGAACACACCCCGCAGTACATCCGACTAGTACCATCGTTAAGTAAATGGTGGGAAACACAACCGTAGGTACGATTGTGACGCGCGTGTCGAGTTGGTCACCAATGCAGCGTATCGCATTTCAACAAAGTTGCATCGAATTTCCATCTAAAAATACAGCAATTAGTCCACAATCGTGTTTGTCTATTGTAAAAAATCCCGCCAAATGTTCTATTATAATAGCATATATTTCGTGTAGGGTTACATCTGTGATAATTCATTTTCTACAGCGAATCGTGCACTACGAATAATAATATAATGATAATAAACTTGAACGAAAGTCATTGAGCCATGTAGCAGGCGGTAAAATATCTCGGATGAAGCCAAGATTTAGTTCTTTGTTCAGACAGAGTGGTCCTTCGAATGGACAAATCTAAGTCATTGTTAGTTGAATGGTTATAATATTTCATTTTATCGTCGGGGAAGTTACATGCATTCGGGAATATTCCATAGAAAACTGCTGTCGGCGACCAAAGACGTGACCCGCCACTCTTTATTGGAATCGGATATTGTGAGCGTTTGTCGTGCAATTGATTTAATTTGTTTGTATTCTCTCGTCTTTGTGTACTGTTTACTCAAGTTGTTGTGGCACCGAGAGTGAACCTATTCAAAAACTTCTATATGCGATATTCGATATCCTCTTGAGCTGGTCCGGGTCAATAACGATGTGTACACGGCGGCGTACATGTACGTGATCGCAATATGGCTTCGTATAACGTAACCACAGAGGGCGTAGTTTACATGTAGTAAACAGAAATAAAAATCGTTTGCAGCACGGCATTTAAAGCAGGAGGGTCGTCGTCTACGCACACGCGCGAATTGAGTCCCAAACGACGATAACAACACGCGTTAAAAACGCAAAGGCAACGACACGCTATGGCCATCTGACGCATGCGCAGGTGACTTCATCATGTCGACAACTGTTCATTGCTTCAGTTTACCGTCTTCACCACAAAGCATTTCTTGTTTAAACGTTTACTGTCTGACTTCAAACGGGCGTCAAAATTTAAAAAAAAAATATCAGAAAACATCATTGAAAATTGGCCGGTCGCGACTCGACAGACAAGGTCATGAAACGAAACCTAAAACTTATTCGTAGTGTACGATATAACCTGTCATCAGATAAAAGAAATACGTCACACATTCAAGTACAATTTTCTTTCGCTCTTGTGGATCACATGGCGTCGTCCATGCATGGTTCCTTGACGATATCGCGTTTTCGTCATTTGATCCCGACTGTTTTAAAAGGCGGGATTTGGGTCTTTTGTGGACCCAGGGTCTGTGAGATGCAAGATTCCCTTCTCTGACTGCCTATTATGAAATTTTCAAACAGAATGAAACACACACAAAGGAGATTTTCCAACATTTTATCCTAGATGTAGTCCATAGCGACGTTTCTTCACGCGATCGAAATTGAACAGAGGATCGGAATGTATGACCGGGCAACTGAATTAAAAAGGACATGGGAATTTTCGAGCGTCCTTTGGAAACCCTAAAACCATTGTTGGTATATGACGTCATCGGTTGCGTGAGAGCACACTGGGAGCACTTCAGTTTCACATCAACTGTTATAGATTATCCATAGATAAACCTCCATGTAAAGAAGTATACACAAATGTGAAAATTAGGCGCTATTATTTACACGTGGAGCAAAGTCGCTTTACCACTTTAACAATAAAACTCACCCCGTTTGTACACTAGCCATATTCCTAATTCAACCATTCTATTTGCATAAAGGTGTTATTATTCTTTGCAAGTAAATGTGATGTATATAGGCATTGGCGGATCCAGAAATTCGGTAAGCAGGGAGCGAGCTCCTATGGAAGTGGCAGAAGTAGTCCTCCGGTGGGCTGGGTTTGTCAATTGATTTGTCAACTTTTTTTTTTGCGGGCTGAAGGAGGGAGCGCGCCTCCCACTAAATCCGCGCGTGTATCCCAAAATTGATGCCACAACGACAATAATGATACTTGGCACAATTCACCACTCACTGTAGGTTTACGAACGCGTTGACGTTCAACTGAAAACTAGGTTTGGCAGCACTTGTAGTCAAACAGTTTGAAATTAACAGTGGTGGAAATTTTCAATGTCTGTTTCAATAGTCTGAAATCACGCACAGACCCCATTCGGGGAAATTTGAACCCCTGTATACGACTTCACCGCGAGGTGATTTCTACAGAATTCAATTTGTAAATCGCGGCGGTGTGAATCAGAATAACAATTAATAGGTACTTCCTGACGATGCGTAGGACGAAGTGACTGATCGAATAAAGAAAACAAGAATTTTTAATTATTAAATGCCACAAGTGCGCCCGGCTGTTAGGAAATATCATATTTAGTGCATATAGCCATAGGTATTTGTACGATCATTAGTCAATTATGGTTAATTAAGTCCAGAAATACAATCAAAACAAAAGATACACCACTGCAGTTTATCCTGCCGGTCTGATGAAACAGAAAACAGTGCCAAACTAATAAGTTGAAACTAAAATGACGATTATAGCCACCTTGTTTTGTAATTATTATCGATTTATTGCCTTTCAACATATAATATTTTTTTATATTACTAGTTTTAGACCGGCACAGGATATACTATGAAGCGTTGTGATTCGGTGGAAACAATGTAGTGTGTGCGGACATTTCTAAAAAAAAATTAATGTTTTGAAAATGATCGCAGTGAAAATTTGGAATAGTACGCGTTTCTCAGACAAATGTGTGTAAACCGTTCGTGTATGATGGGACGGTTGGCCTTGGTTGTACCAACTGTCCATAATTGGTCCATAATTATTATTGCCTACATTTTAACCTATATTTTCGAATATATCTGAAACAACCTAATAGAAACGTAATGTGAAAGCCAAAGGGTTGAGTTCAGACGTAACGACAGTGTCACATCATCGAACATTTGCTTTGCTTTGTGCATAATCATTACCGCGGCTATCACCGAGTGATGCTACGACCGACGGAAAATAAAATAAAAATATTATTCAGTAATTAAATGCATATTACTTAATAAATGTTTATGGAAACTAATACTGATCAATAGAAACAGTGGCGATGGAATTAAAAATTCAGAGTAAGCAAAAAATATGCTGTATATTTATATAATGGTCCTAACTACGTGACCTTATCGTCTCTAAGGCTCGCATTGAATGTTCCAGAGAAAAGATTGTCTTTATTTTTTTTAAAGCGATGTATACAATACATGAACGGCACAAAGGACAAAACTGAAGTTCAGTATGCCCTGGACTGATTTTGTAGGAACCCTGAGTCAAAATAACAGTTCAGCTAGTTGACTGTTGATCAGTCTTCAAACAAAACTTGCTAAATGGGCACACTGCCGAGGTTCCCGATTCGGATTTTAAAGTGAAAAAGATCGTGGTACATATTATAATATCACATGGCGCAATAATTTCATATACGAGTATAATTTCCTCTAATTTGAATATTAGTTTTAGATTGAATAAATACCATCCGAAAAACAATTTTTAAGATTTTTTGTCATTATTGAAAATAAGAGACAAAACTTCCGCGGAACTACTTTATAAAGCGACTTACATTTTGTCTGCGGTGGCAAGTGTCAACAAGTTTTGTGAAATTCGTCACATTGATGTTTGTTTCCGTTATTTATTGGATAATTATGGATTAAATAAATATAACTGCCCATTGACTATTAATAATATGTAAAATGTTATGCAGATTTATTTTGTGAAAGGTGGCGAAAGTTGAGTTTGGTGGTCAGGCTGAGGGAACATAAATTCGTAAACTCTGACAACTACGACAACGATAACGAAGACAACAACAATAAAACCACAGGTCCTAAATAAGAGATTTATCTGTTCTAAACCGAGGATAAGACACGACATGTGCTGAAATGTTCAAACTATATTGTAAGTTGAGAGCCGACCTGACTTTAATCCCGCTTTTTTTTTATTAAATAGCTGCGCAGCACGACACGACAGATGCTATGGGCTTATACAGGCAGATCATCGACTCAAGAATTCTGTCCTCGCCCACCGCCGTCTGCGCAAATTACTGTCGCGTGCAAGTATTAAGAATCCAATACTTCAGGGCAACTTCACAAAATCAATAACACGCGTAAAACACTGTGTTATGGGTGTATTTCCCGAGGGCTCATCGAGTTACTGAACCGGTAGTATGTAAACTGACGGGTTCAGTCGGTATATCATACCTCTCGGCGTACGGCATACTGGGGCTGTGAGTACGCGGTATTGAACGGAGGAATGTCATAATTGAAGTAGAACCACATATGTTCAGAAAATAGTTGACCGAAAATGTTCAAAAATCAACGCACTGTGATTAAAATAAAAATATTAAACAAGTACTGGCACACGGGAAAAGTGTAATAATGGTGTTGATCAACTCGAATTTTGAATATTTAGTACACAGATTTAAAAAACAGTAATGGCGATGCGTTTTCGCCGAAATGCATAAAAAAACACATGAAATTTTGTCATGCGTTCACGAATTGTTCGTTACACTGATATACCAATCATACACGCCTGTAGTTGTCAGTACTCATGGATAAACACAGAATGAACTTTTCACTCCAGGCCCCGACGCCGTTCCCTTTAATTAAGACTGTCAGAGCACTCATTTGACGTACATTCCCCCGGGATATAGTATATCATCTTGGGTCGACATGGCAGTAATCATTACTCAATAATCGTCACTGGAAATAGTTGAAATATTGGGAGAACACGAAACGGCGGGTGGTAATAAATATACACCGTGGTACCCAGGACAACAAATTACGTTGGAACTGCGACTGGTATTCAGTGTCGTCACCTTATATCGTTTTAAAGCGTCAAACGTAAATGGAGACTTGCTTTGCACGGCTTGGTTTTTGTCAGCGTAGCGGAACAAGTCGGTTGAACTGGAAAACATGTCATCGTATTGCGCGTGGAACTATCAGTACTACAAAGTTAGGAGAATTAATACGATTGGTGAGGTTACTTACAGTTAGTGGGTTCATCTGGTGGTGTGACAATCGATTGAGATTTCAGACTGTTTTTCTGGAATCTGAGAAAAGACACATTTCATATGGTTGGTCATAAAATAATATACCCTCTTATTATTTGATGAATAAATCTGGAATTCGCGGCGAATTATATATATATATTTGTTTTTTGGCTACCGGGATAAATTATCACAATATGACGACCATTACTGGCCCGTAAATCGCCACGATATTTTACCTGATATCGTCACGTGGTGGTGTCGAACTGTCACAGGTGGATTTAATGGTCCTCGACTTAATTGGTTGCCAGTGACAACCGTGCACCGATACCTCTAAACATATGTTAAACGTCGAAAACATAAATGGCAGTCGCAACTGGTTGAGTTTTATCGGTTTTCGCCGTGACGTTAATCACTCTCCATTCCCATAACATTATGTGCACTTGACTTCTATCCTTCACTGCTACGTTTTGTCAACGTCAAGTTCATGATTGTCGCTACCAACCATGTACTGCCTGTGTTCAATTCATTCACTAACAGAAATGGTTACTATGGCAATAATATATTCAGCGCCAGTACTTCTGTTCGCAATTTGCACAAAAATCAGTAAGGAAAGACAAGTGACTCTCAGTGTTGGAACTGACGCATATATGTGTGATATAGTTTGATTTAATGTCGTTAGACTTCCTAGAGGCGAAATGTTTATCACAATGTAGGATTTCGATAGTTTTTATTAGTGTTAAACACACATAATCGATTTTATTTTATTTTTACCCAACATAAAATATATTTTTGAAGAAAAAACTTTGAAGAGTTATTTCACCAAAACTAAATAGCATTCGTCAGAATTGTGTAATGATTAATGACAACAATAAGTACCCATCTCATCACGACATGTGATTTTTTCGACATATGTAACCGAAAGCAATTTTGAAATATGAGGAGACCTTTTTATGGGTTTCGTGCCAAAAGTAGTTTGGTGACCATATTTGATCGGGTTGTTGTGAACAACAGAGTAATATAAAACCGTATTGTAAAAGTCAAGGAAATCTCAGTGATAATGTGATAGCCGATGTGAGTAAACTTAAAGCGGAGTGGTCGTCACCGGCGCACGATAACAACGCATGCTAAAAATGCAAAGGTTCATGGGTAGACGCTTGTTTGTAAAAATGACACGCTCTGGCCGTCTAACGCATGCGCAGGTGACGACTCCCCCGCCGCAAGATGCAAGATATCGTTGAAAAACGAGAGGGCGATTTTTTTGACCACTCAAAAAGAGTTATATTCTCTTCTGCCATTGCGCCTCTGTTTCCGTTGTATTTGAAATGGCGGAGGCATGACGGACTGGAGAGATAATGAAACACTACACCGGGAGTTGGTGCATAATCCAAGCTCCTGTCTCTCTCGTTCTCAACGAGATCTCGGCGGCCATTTGAACCGGAAATAATGGGAGAATCTAATAGAAATAAGTATGTGAGGTAAATAATACGCATGTCACGTGTATGCACCTTTTAAATATGCATTCTACGAATTTAAATATTGAGGTAAACCAAGAAGAAAACACAGAAACAATAGGATGTGTATTACATTTTTCAAATTTGTATTACTTCTTGCATTAAATTCTCTGATCCATTTTTTTGAAGTAAAGCAAAACAAAATTAAAACAATTCGACTTCATTACCATGGTAATATTGAAGCAATTAGCTAACTTTCATCATTTTCTTTCTAAGAACATCTGATAACATTATCAAGAAAAGGTATGATAATTTTATTTATAAGCTGCAATTTCCGGAAAAAAACACGCCCGTAAAGTCGACATCGAGTTCAAAATACCATGAACCACAAAATTTACATTATTAAGACGTTGGGAATTACCGCGTCTAATAATATATACTGATGAATGAACATTGTCTAACTATGAGATAAACACCGTTATTTGTGAAAACAAATTCGATATGACATATGACAGACCATTTGAGTCGAAGCATATACAGAACTTGCGTCCAGAAAAAACAAAACAAGTTGCTCTCTGATTGGCCTGACTGTTAGGGTTAGGTAGCCAATCAGGCACAGGCTTGTAAGCAGGTTCACGTTGACCGTTGACTCTGATGTTGAGTATATGCAACATAACCGACACCAAGCGGCAACAAATTGTTACCATAGTAACCGGTAAGTTTTCCCAAATTTAACATTATTTTTATTGTATTTTCGTTTATATTGATTTAAAAATGGCAACAAATGGTTACCATAGAAACCATAGAGTTTTTCCCAAATTAAACATTATTTTTATTATATTATCGTTTATATTTATTTAGGAATGGCAACAAATGGTTACCATGGTAACCAGAGATTGTATTTGTATTATATTATCGTTTATAATTATTTAGGATTTTCTAACTTGAGTAACTATAGTTACGATTAACCACGTCATTTGATCCTAACAGAAATTGTGATAGCTGTGACAGTATTACTTTTTTTACGTATTTTTTTCCGTTTCCGTTTGTTAGTGTGCGAAGATAGAGGGCCTGAAACTGACACAAAACATAAGTCACATAAGATGAGGCGTATTTTGGTAGTTTTGTATCTCTTTAATTAGTTATACTCGAATTAGATTTCCGTACTAATAACAGTCAAATATAGGACACTAAAATTGAAAGAATAATTCTCAGTGCCCAGAAACGTGACTTGAAGTGAAAATGTAAATGTAATAACAGCGTGTTACATTCGATACGTGCTGTTAGGCAGCTGCATGGGACGGTCAACTATTTTGAAGAACAATTTCAATGTCAAGTCAATAAAAAAATGTACCAAGGGTCGTTTAGGTGAAGATATAGCATCAAATAATTTAATCGATCGAATATCATGTACAAAAATGCGAGAAATGTTCAATTCCAATCAAGGGTTTTAATGTGTGTGCAATAAATTTAAGAGAACCGTGTGAGAAACGCGTATTATATAAACAATCGGTTGGAAAAAATTAATATAGGTTGCCAAACTGATATTGAGCAATTATCATAATCTATTGTTAAGTAATTAAAAGTTAGAGCCGCCTCGTTCCTCTAGAGATTTATAACTAATCTCATCAGTAATGTAAATGTATGCCGTATTTCACTCACGAACTAAATTACATGCGATCGTCTTGTAACAAAAATAACAATGTATTGTACCGTGCACACACAGGTACCTGATATGACGAACACATGTGATATACAACAAACTTACCTACTTAACAGCTTCCAATTCTGCTTAAATACGTCGCCGAACTCCTCCCGTTGCCTCGAGTACACGTGCTTTACCCGATCAGCGTTCGCGGCGAACTCCTGTCGCAGTTTCTCTTGCCCGAGTCGTTCTTTCTCCTTCAACATCACGTCAACCGAAGTGCGGGCTCGGTGGAGATTCTCCCGAGCCCTTGTCGAAAGCTGTGTCTTCCATTCAGCCCCAGCCGCGGGGCGTTGTCCCATGTCTCTAATTTAATTGTTTACGTGTGTGGGTAGTTTGACGGGAGAAGTTCCCGTTCGTTATCCATCCGCTATATCTGACGACGCACATGTTCATCTACGATAGTTCTTTGCTTTACTGGACATCCAGGCATGTATGTCATAAGTAAAATACCATGCCAAGTTGCTGACGTAGGAGAGGCCTTTATTTGTTGTAATATACACAGTGCTACGTTAGGACTATATAAACGTTTTCCGCAAGACTGCAAACGAGAACCGAGAACACAAAAGGGATTATAGTCGGGCTTTCACATAATGTCATTACGATGAACTGGTATCATTATGTGAGTTGTTCAAACCTTACACATTGATAATTTCATACATTTAACATTAATAATTAAAAAAACAGAAAAGATTGAATTGGCACCAAATCCAATGTACCAAGTACGGGAAAGCAATTTGCACGTTGAATTTCTCGGTTGCATTCGACCAACTTGTCGTAATTGAACCATAACTTGCGTTGACTCTCAACATTCAAACAGTGCTGTCCCTCAAATACAAAATGAAACAGACATTGCACGCAAGAAACACGTATGAGTACTGTTGCGGCGACGAAAAAGCAAAGAACTTGTTTTTCTTACAGTTGTTATAATTTAGCTATTCATTAACGATATCAAAAGTATGCACGTGGACATATCAGTCGATGCGCACAATTAATTAAATAACAAATGCACGTTAATTCATGGATTTCAGAGCTTATACACGTTTATTCAAGATTTTAGACTATCGCAGCGTTTTTTCCGTCGTAACACAACACAATAAATCATGCGTACAACCATCATATTAGACAGAGCTTCGATTTAGCATAGTTTCTTTGGTAAAACACGCTGACTAAATGTAGTTCAAATAGGCTATTAGTTAGAAAAGAGGTTGTAACCATGGGTTACTATGGTGTACAAATGTCATACCCTATTTCTCAAACATAATCACACACATAATTCTCATTACGCAAATTTGAATTTGTATAGTGCCTTACATAATACATATTAGCGTAGAACGCAAAGAGCGTGCCAGTTATGTTGCTCGTTTAGTTTCCATGTTAATCGAAACTATATTATTGCTTACATTTGAAAGGAATCAAAAGAATGGTCACACCAGTCACTGTGCATGACACATTAATTGGTGTATACCTCACATGAATTGTTACGCTAATCTTGTTTTGAATTTCAGACAGAGAATGTTTTACAATATACCTTAGATCTACAGTTTTGCCGGTTTAATTATATACTACTAGTATTTTAAATTTAAAAGATTATAAACTTGAATTTGACAAAGGGGAAATGAGATTGTTACTATGTTAGTTGAGGAGGGAGATTGTTACTATGTTGGTCGGGAGGGATATAGTTACTGTGTTGGTCGAGGAAA